ATACCGTCGGAATGCACGGAGTGCGGCTCGCGATTCAACATCGGCGGTCCCATATGGACTGGACCCATGCATGACAAGGAGTTTGTGGACCGGGTCATTGACAGCGTCGTAGCGTCGCGAGAATCGTACGGCACCGCCGATCGCATAATCGGCATGCTATCGATCGTGTCCGAGGATCTTCACGACGTGCCCCTGCACTATTCAGTGACGGGCCTCTCGCGTATCCTGCACGTCTCCACCCCAAAGGTGCTTGCGTTCAGGTCGGCACTGATACGACTGGGCTACCGGGTCTCATACGTCCACAGCTCCGAATATGGCTTAAGAACGGATGCACCGACGAGCGTTGTGTTCGACATTCTGCGAGCGTGGGTCAAGACGAATCCGATCAAGGATCCTGCCCCCAACTCGCCGGCTGCGAAGATCCTCTCGCGCGAGCCAGCAGTGGATGTGTGCTTTGATATCCTACCCGAGGCCAATCCTCCTTCTCGCCAGCACAACTTGCTCCGCTACCAGATCAACCCCGAACCCAACTGGGGTCCGAAATGCAAGGCAAAGAAGCGCAAGGCTGACGACAGTTCTGAAACGGAGCCCGATAAGCGGAAACGCCTCCAGGACAAGCGGACCAAGAAGCCAAAGCCAAACCTAAAGATGTACGCTTGCAAGAACTTCAAAGAGGGCACGTGTCCGTTCCCAGAGGAAGAGTGCCGCTATCATCACAATCTGGAGCCTGCAGTAGAGAGCGCGCCAGAGTCATAACATAACAGGCTACTACTTCGAGAACTACTAGAAATCTGCTACTACTGTTAGCATGCAGTGTCTGGTTCTGCTGGCTACCTACATTGCCAGCATGCTGTGTCTAGGCTCAGTACACTACTAACATGTTTCTGCTGGTTCATGGCTCCGTACTCGCACAGGTATCAAGGTGTAGTGTGCACCAGTGCTGCCAGTATTCTACTGCCCGCGCACACGCGCGGTACTAGTACTCACCGAGTGCTGTTACTATACACAGGACCACAGCACGGCATGGCACGCCACACACGGTAGTGTCATCTGGTCCTCTGCAGGCAGTGCTCCTGCCAAGTTACCATGCCTACGTCCTATGCTGGGCCAGTTTTCTTATACCAGACCAGCGCCAGGTCGGGTGATGTTCCGAGAATTCACTCGTTGACCAGCTGGTCGGGCAACTGTGAAGCTGGTGCAGCGGCTGCTGCCTGCTTGCTAGACCAAGGTAGTGAGATCATGTGGAGCGGTGTGTACACTGAGCAATCTTACCAGGCGTTTAGCCAGTGAACATGGCTGTACGCTTACTGTACTGTTGATGCAGAAGTTTGTACATGTACTTTCACCAGCCCCGTCTTGGACAGACTCTCGGCATTTGGCCCCTCTGGCAGGAGCTGCTCTGTACTGTGAGACTTTTTAAAGTACAATTATGTTTGTGCTATTTTCCTGATTCCTTTGGGTTCATCAAAGTTCCGTAACCTAGCAGCTATTCTGACTCTGTCATGAATACTTCGAAGTACTCGCATCAACATCATGGCACATCCTCTTGTACTTCATGATACCTGCTGCCTATAATTGCCCAGTGTGGGTACATACATGTATGACTCATCTCCGAGTGTGTCTTTGACCCATGTGCGTGTAGAAGACATTATGACTACTTTTCTTGTCTTCCTTAGGTATAATTATGATGGTCATCAACATGATGATGGTGGTGATACATGTACTAGGATATAAAATAATGTTGGTACGATGACAGTACCCATCATCGGCATATGCAAGTGTTCCATGCATCCACACAAGATCACAGATCCAACCAAGAGGACAGTTCTCAAGAGGTAGTATCAACTGTTTTTGTTCCCTTCTCGTCAAGGATCCTACAGGGAATCTTAAGAGAATACAGCTACTTGTGGAAGACGTTAGTGTGTAGAAGATCAGATTTGTAATTCTCTGCTGCTGCTGCTGTATGAGTTCCGGGTCGAGCACTTGCCACACTGCGTGGCTGTCGGTGGTAGTTGAGCTGAAATCAGCTCGAGGCTGAGAATGAACATGCAGGCAGCAGCAATGATGATGGCTCTACATCTGCAATATCAGCAACTTGTGGCGCCGTGCGTGCAGGATGGTCCACTATGCAGAACCGCTTCACGCAGCAAAGGCTAACAAGCCTGCCTCCACGAGCGTTTTCACATATCCTTGGATCTGCGGTCCTCCGGAGGCCATGCGTCTACGGAAAGACACGAAAGCGCATGCACCATACACGTGGCACACACCGACAGACACACCATGTGGACTGGGCAGTTCCTTGGGGCATCTGACATGCACATGATGGCCACACTGATACTGTGTCAAGCATTATTCTATCTGTAGGACAGTATGAGCACACTTCAGACACACACCCCTCCGCTTAGCCAGGTGCTGGCTGCCTTGTCATTTCAATATGAAAGTGCTGGGCGGCCACAGACAAAAACAAATGCAAAAAAATGGTTGCAGTGATTGCACTGAAGGAGTTGGGGGATGCCGGGGCCAGCGAATTCGAAGGAATCCATGGTTGAAACAACATTATTTTGATCAATCCCAAACGATTGTTCTTTTTGAGCCAGGCAACGGAAATTTGCCACAATCTGACCAGGCCCTATACGAACATAGACGAACACAGTACATACCTGCTCGCTTCTGCTGGATTCGTACGAGCAAGTTCAAAGATCGCTTGAATTTCTGGGCATTTCAAGATCTCTTGTATGTCCGGCCTGCTCAGTATGCGCGTCATCTTCCTCTGGTCCGCATTCGTCATCGAGCCAGACCCGGCGGCACCTGTCCACAATGGATGAGTCACAGCAAAGGGAACCATAAGCCAGGGCTGCAGAACAGATGTGCTTCATGAGATGCACAGCCAGTAAGACAACCAATCTAGCTGGCCACTGGAACTAAACCATTCAGATTAGGAGACACACAAATAATATAGTCATTGTGACATTCGTGACGTTGTACAGTTACTGTCGGTCGCCGAAGAACTGGGGGGGGGGGGGGTCAGCCCCCTAGCCTAGATCGTTCTTATTTTTAAAGTCTATGTACAGTCGAGTCACCGTGTATACATTGGTATGCTGTGCTTGATAAAATTCTTGCCTGGTTATTCTTTTTTCGGCGCTCCGTTCTTCGGCGCCCGACAGTACTCGTAACTGTACTAGTATGTCCTGAAGTAGGCACTTGAGATCGCTTGAGATAGCGGCAAATCAGCACAAAAGTTCACTCACCATCGGAGATAGCTGGTGTCGTTCTTGAATCACCCTTTGAGGATGCTTTCAGTGAAGTAGTTGTGGTCGGTCGTATCAAATCAGCCTGCGGCTCACCGTTTGTAGAGCTCGGTGGTTGAGACTCGCCCAGGCGTGTGAAGTGCTCACCCATGACTCGGCAGAACTCTTGCAAGAATACTTTCATTTCATCATTGCCCTGACTCTTGCGAAGTGTCTCCTGCGGGTCCCTTTGGAAGTCTTCCAGGACCGATGCAAATCGCGGATCGGCCAACCGTGGACCCAGGATCGAGTTCCTGGCCAGAGCCTGCTGGAGGTCTTCTGTTAGCCATTCTGTACGTGAAGATTACATACACGGTCACACTCACAGCAGTCAGGATCATGTCACGGCTGAGCAGGTAGTGCCAGCTACGTGTAGAACTTCTTGCGGCCTCCAACTCCCGGCGTGCTCCAAACTCAAACCATGGAAAGTGGCCGAAAGAGAGAGAGAGAGAGAGAGAGAGAGAGAGAGTGAGAGAGAGAGAGACGGAGAGAGAGTGTGTACGTGTGTGTGTATATGTGTGTGCGTGTGTGAAAGAGGGAGGGGGGGGGGGGGGGGTGGGCTCTGCAATTGACCTGCGATTCCGTACTTGTCTTTTCTTGACGAGTCGCAGCGAGAAGACTTGAAGTATGGGGGGGGGGGGGGAGAAAGGAGGAGGCACAGCAGGAAATTTCTGAGGCTCATGTACTTGTAGTTAGAATTGGAAAGCAGATGAAGTTACCTTTCGTGTTTGCCAAAAGCGGCTCAGATGCTTTCAACGCTTCTTGCACTTCAGGAAAGGCGAGTGTGCTTGCTGTGCTCGATGACTCTCCCTTTGTCTGTGCTCTGATGAAGGGCATTGAGTCATCGGACTTTTGTGTGGCCTTCACTGGGCTTTGCCTTGCAGAGCTAGCAGGTTTAACATTCAGAGCAGGTGCCTTCTTGCCTGATCCACCGCTGGACAAAAATCCTTTTGAAAAGCCAGCAAAGCCTGCCGAACCTGCTGCAGCGTTCGCCGTCGGCTTCTGTGTTTTATTCTCTTTCGGCTTCTTCGTGATTTGCTCCTTTGGCTTCTGTGTGATGTGCTCCGAGGCTTTTATCTGAAACCAACGTACAAAACACACACACAATTTCATGGTGTACTAGTAAATCAGGGGGTAATAAAATTACCGGTGTTCTACTTCCGGGTGCAAATATTCATGGTGCGATTGTGTTTTGCAAGTGGTGTGCACATGATTGGTCTGATCTAGGTGTGTTGCACTGCACCCAATCTACCTCGCACCTATTCAAGTGGTCACACAATTGCAGTCGTCATAGAAACAGTTGCTAGGAACATGCAGTGAAACTTTAAAAGCATCACGTGCCTTGGGTATAACATACCATGGCATATGAAGTACAATCGACTCCTGATATCACGAACACCATTGTGCAGGAGAAACAATTCTGTATTGCCGCCGTTCTTTATAACAGAAATGCACTCACACATTACAACTTCACAAGCAACATGCCACGACTGGCCTGTGGGCCATGACTGCATGAGTACACTTGGTTTACATGCGGCCCTACAAGATATGGCTTGTTGAAAATGAAAACTTCACGCTACAAAGGGTCCATTTTGCATCAGTTCAAACCAGTTCAAACCAGGACAAGGACAATGGTTTCCTTTTATCATGAAATTTGCTATAAACGAGTTCGTTGTAAGTGGAGTCGACTGTACATTTTTTAGGAGCCTGCATTATACCTCGGCTATCAAGTTCAGATTCGTACAGGCCTTGGACGTATGTTACACATATGCTGACTTCTGAAGTTTCATCCCATACATGTGCACCACATGTAAGCCTAGCCTTGTTGATAGATAACATATTTATTTTGGTTGACAGGATGTTACAAGGCGGAGGACGCACCGTGTTGAAGAACAGTGCTCCTGACTACAACCGTCATCGGGTTCGCAGAGCCCCGATCTTGATGGCCATTTTGACCGTATGGGATCAGATCCCGGTTCGGATCCTCCTTGGCAATGCACTGGGTAGTGACTGCTGACCATAGTGCAGCCAATAGTAGCCATATAGCAGCGCCGATGCTACAACTACTTGTCGAAGAGCAGCCATGCGGGCTGTGACACTAGTACAGGTACTGCCTATTGGCCTATATACATGTAAGTGATGCCGTCAGAAGTCAATAGATTACAACTTCTAGGCCAAATTGGATCCACTCTGACCATAGCGAAGTATATTATCTGATAGGTAAGTCCCTTATGTCGCATGCTGGTTTGACTTTTTCAGGACCAACCGCGGGACCCCCGGCCGGGAGGGCCCAGTCCAGTTACTACCAGAGGATCATGTACATACGGTGTCACCATGCTATGATGAAAACCACCCAAACATGTATGGATCCAAACAAAACTGGTTGCAAGTGGATCCAAAGGCTGTGATGTAAAGCTTTCAAGCCATATTAGTTTGCCCTACATTCTTCAGCACACGGGATCACCGTATTTTATACCCGTCTGATTGGTATTACAGAGGCATGCAATCATCATCATTACACACCTGAGCACCGGAGTGTGCGCCATTTGAAGCTGGGCGTACGCTTTCAGGTGCACGAGCTATTGACGTAGGCAATTCTGACATCGTCTGCGCCTGTCCAGTACCGTTTCCAGGGAGCAGCGGAGTCCTGGTGGCTGTTGCTTCTTCACCAGACACAGCAGCCCCTGTTGGCTGATGCTGCTTTCTATCATCCTCACCAGCTGAAAGTGAGGCACCGGCAGTCATCTCAGGCGTGCGATGTTCCTGTCGCTTTTCCAGTTCGAGCTTTGCAAAATGTTCAGAAAAGTCTTCCAATGGTGGCACTGCAGTACGGTTAGAAATTCACACGCATGAACCCGTATGCACCCCCACACCCCCACATGCATGCATACGCAAGAGCGCGTACGCACACACACACACGCACACACACACACACGCACACACACACACACACACACACACACACACACACACAAACATACACACACGCACACACACACACACACACACACACACGCACGCACGCACGCACGCACGCACACACACACACACACACACACACACACATGAATAATTGAATACTGTAATTTTTATACATACACAATGACTATGTACCGTTTCAGGTTCAAGTGTAGCCAGCTTCAAATTGAGGACTCAGAGTCGGCTGAGACAGATGTTTGGGTATGGCTATGCAAATACACATCGCTTCACACAAGTCGGACAGCATGAATATTTGGGGTTATAACCATTTTTATACTCAACTGTCATACCATGCATTATGCAGTTGTGCATTCGTTTTGAAGGGGGGGGGGGGGAGCACGGAAGATGGCTCTGTGGCACGCTTTGTCATGTAGCGTTGCCGACAACCTGCCTACTGCTATTGTCAGATCATCGGGGAAATGTTGTATACGTAAGTGTAGTACAGTAGACTCGCACGCCCAAGAACGTCCAGGCTGGAAATCTAAGAACGCCCCAGCCTGGATTTAAGAACGAACTCCAAGATTTTTAAGAACGCGACATTTTTACACGAAAAACAAGTCCGCAACCACAAACTCTTGTCGGGTCCTCGCGAAAACATCACCCAGTGCAGCGCTACATACTACACGTGCATGTAAAGTGTACAACCGGTACATGTAGCGCAGAGTGCATTGTACATGAGCGTCATGGGTCGTGTTGGACGCGTAACGCGAAATAAGAACGTAGCCTGGGGCGCTGAAAAATAAGAACTTTTCTAGGCTGGCCCTCTGAATCCGCGTTCTTGGCCGTACGAGTCTACTGTAGTCTCTGTGTGTTCATACCTGACTAAGTCATTGAAAGGCCAGGCCAGCCTGCAGAGATCTGCACTTGCATTGTTTAATGTTTAGTACTCATGGTACTAGCACAGTCAGCGGCTACTCGATGGAATCAGATGAAGTGAGCTTGAATGCCACGCCGGATGCTGTGCAGCTCAGTCTAGACCAGCGAACACTGGGGTGGTGAACTGGTGCCGAGTGCAAACGACTCAGTGGCTCACGCAATCGGATTTTATCATTTCATTGAGCAGCAGCACTGTGCCTATGCAATGTAACGATGGCAAACGTAACCATGGTAACCAGTACATCATCGGATTGTACATTGTTCCAGGAAGATCCGCAACAGAGTGGAATTGCATGCAACAATGCCCACATCCATTTATGCCGGTAATACAGAGGCAAAGGATTGTCACCTGAAATTTGAACCGCGCTGTTTGGCTTATTACACCATTTTCATTTGTCATTTTAACATTTTTATTTTACTTTTTAGACTTGCCCTTTCACAGGCAGGCCCGAATTATATTATTGTTTGTACATGTACTTGAAAGTAGAGATGTGCTTGACCTTGAGCTTCTTTGTACATGATTGTACTCTTGGTAGTACATTGTACTTTCTGAGCCACTGTTCGTGATACTAGCCCTCACACTCACACTAATGTCCCAGCAAGTGAGAATGAATGAAAATGTCCAGCAATAACAATCGGTAGCAGTGAAGATACAAAGCGAGAAAGTAATAATAATTGCAGTGCAGGAGTATGACTGCGCCGTACATAGTCCGATTTGCTTACCATCATCATCGCTATCGCTCTGCTCCGCCGACATTGTGGATGATGTACCGTTCCGCTAGTATCTGCTACAAAAAGCTGAGCCACTACTGTCTATAATGTACAAGTAAATTTAATAATGGTATCCACCGGCGGTGAAAACTATTCCGCAGTCTTATCTGGTGTGATCGTCATTGCACTACGACTGGTAGTGGTACTACATAGACCGAGTAGATCTACCACTCACAGCATTCACGGACGCGAGCGGTAGCGTCGTCAAGGTTGCATCTGACAGTGCATGTCAACCATGTCCAGGACCAGTAGATCTACGGCAGTAGTTCTACGGCGGTAGGTCCGGGACTCACATACCGACATAGTCATTCATAGAAAACTGGATCATGGATGAACAAGACTTTTTACTTTTTAGTACTACTAGTACTAGTACTACTACTCTTTTACTGTTTTAGTTTTACCCCGAGACGTCACCAGGCCAGGTCACCGCAGCGGCGCGGCGGAAGAGTCGAACCAAGACGGCAAGACTCAGACTCAGATCAGAGTCATATCAAGACGGCAAGCAGTGGACCTGGTGGACCATGTCCATGGTATTGGTAGACGAATGCTGGAGCAGTGAACATGGTGAAGGTGCGTCGACCGCTGACCCACGCAGCGGTCATCCAAAAGTCAAAACTGCGCAAGGGGAGGGTACCGGGTGGCAGCGGCTTCTTCATTTTTGCTTGCAAGATAGGTGGCAAATACTGGCAATAGGCGTTGTATTTCCCCCTGTAGGCTGTAGGCTATCTTTACTTCACTCTGTAGTTACCCTTAGTCACTTCAAGTCTCGTGTTGGCCGGGCACAGATGTCTCTCTCCCTCCCCGTAGCTCTCTCCCCTTTGAAATTCCCCTTTATTCCCCTTTGAAGTTCGCTTCCATTGCCCGTTTGGCCTTGCGAAGTAAAATAAAAATCAACAACAACAACAACAACAACAACATGTGCGAGCTTTATTTCCCCCCACTTGTACGTTCACCATTCCCAGTCAAACAGGTAGGACGCGTCTATCCTAGCGTATAGCCAGTGCCAGTATAGGTACCGCGTCTACTGAACACATTACTGTGTCTTGTTGCAAGGAAGTAATCAGTTACTAGTAGTACTTCAACTTCAAGGCTGTACTCTGTGACAGAGGTACTAATATAATAAGTATGATTCTCTGTGACCACCAAAGCCAGTGACGACCCATCGAGTCGACTGAGGAGCGAAGGCAGGCGGACACCGTGGCCTTGGCTTGGAGAGTTCATGACAGGAGAATGGGCATACTACTGGTACGGCAGAGTGATGCTGAGCATTGGGATCTACAGTAGCCCTTTTCGGATAATGCCGGCAGAAATATTGGCAGAATTCGGTACTTTTTTTCTGGTATGGTTCATGCATGTTTGGTATGTGGATAAAGAAATGGAGCAGAATTCAAGGAAGTGCCTGCCCTAAGACTTGAATGATTCTACCAAGTTCACTGCTCAGTTCGAGCAGAATCTGCCAATGTTTCCAGCATTATCCACCACCAAGTGCTAGTCTACCGGGTCTACAGTGTTCTAATCTTAGTACGGAGTAGGGTATGACTGCAGCAATTTTAGGTCTATTCCAAGCAATACATGGTTGGGGTAACCAATGACCACTTTGCGTGGCGATTGCAAGGTTTTTATACATGTACATGTAGCTAACCACGCCCGATTGGTTGAGAGACTCACCTCCTCTCCCCTGACTCACTCGTGAGGTCTGCATCTGCCACTAAGGTGAAAAGGCATAGTGGTGGCCTGCGGAAGCGAAGGCTATAGCTTGTGTGTTTCTGAACATTCAAGTGATGCTAACGCGGATCCCGCGAATATTATAATATTAGCCAACCACGGCTAGCAAGGAAAATCATACGGTATCATCTGTGCATCTATCTCCACAATGACTCATTTCAGATACTACATGTATAGTTATTCCCAGCCTACGGCAATAAAGGTGTCGTACAGGAAAGGTGCTCCCCTCACGGGAGCTCACGCCTTTCCGCAGACTGACTTGACACTTGACACTGTCTGCCCCCTACCATAACCTCCATCATAAATATTGCTGAGTTTATATGGCTAAGTTCAACTACAAATGTATTCACTGATGTTCCTTGTTTTCCTCATTGATCTGCTCACTCCCAGTTGTCCTATTGGTCGTGTTATTTCTCCTTCTCTGCTCACTTTGTATTCTCATATTCTCATCCAAACTGTACAGAAATGGAGACCCCCTCGATAGGCCTAAACGGCCTCTGGGGAATCCTTGAAATAAAGTATACACTGATATATGGCAGTTGTGAGTCCGTCAAGTGTCAAGTCAGTCGGCGGACTTGGAAGCGTGAGCTCCGGTGAGGGGAGCACCTTGTCCACTGTCCTTGCCTATGAAATCATCGCCGAAGTCGCTACCACTAGAAGTCAATAAAAACATGCTCTGCGACAACAACTCGTTAGTTTTGTCCCTTGGTTGTCTATTGTCGCAGAACATTGCACTCTTGTTTGGTTTCGTGGACTTTCTTCACCCTCTGCCAGTTTTGTAATTCCTTTATGTGTATGATGTTGTGTGTTTTACAGTGCCATTCTGGCTTCTCTTCTTTGTGCTATCACATCACAACTGTTTAAAAAAACCTTGTGCTTCAACCTTGGTCGGTTTCCTTTTGCCTGGATTCCACCTGACGAGAAGGCAGTGAGAGTACTTGTTGAGAAGCTTTGAGGATGTTGATTGCGAGGAGTCTGAGCTTTCTTGAGCTTTATTGTATTTGGCCTCCAAGAAAACCGTTCTTACTGTAGTTGTGGGCAGTTCCTGATTTGCTTTCAGGCATAGTTCGACCTAAGAAGCTGGATCATACCCAACTGTGGTATTTACCAATGTTTTACTTCAAGTAAACCCTTCGTCAACTTGCCGGAAACTTGTGTCCAGGGACGGCCAGAATGTACATGTATGGTAGGAACAAACTGTGTGCTCTCTCCTTCTTCTGGTGCTCGTTTCTGGATGGCTGTGCAACTCCGACAAAAGCAAGGCTGGCCGGCTGCCAAGCTAGGGACCATGTGATCCTCACGTGGAACATGCCGGAACCGGCTCGATTTCCTATTATTTTTATTTTATTTTTTTTTTATACGAAAGTCCACTATATTCCCGAATATGTGCGAGAAGGTATTCCTGACTTTTGTGTCTAGGCTAACCACATCTATGATAGTTTCAATAGTTTGTGTATATGTCAGTTATAGTAGTCCGCAATGCTGCTTTTCTAATTCTCATTATGATTAGCATGCAATGTACTACCCGAAGTACTGAATTTACTTCTTCTGTACTCTATATTCTAATGTATCTTCTACCTCTTCTCCCTTACGAACATACTTTCTCATTTTCCATACTTACTTAGGAAACTCCCTTCGATAGGCATCTATTTGCCTCTGGAGGATCCGTGAAATAAAAATCAATCAATCAGAAGTGGTGTACATGTACACCGGGAATACTGCATGCACCGAATACTTTCGCCAATGACTTATGTGTCTCGGATCCCATTTTACCTCAGGCTTGGGCAGTACCCCATCAGGCCAGGTAATAATTAATCACGAAACCCACTGTTATTCAGGTCAGACCGTGCTAGTACTAGTAGTAGTTGGTAACGACTTCACTGCCAGTCTGTTTTCATTCGCCCGAATCGGCAGCACACTCGGCGATCAGTAGCAAAGTTGTTGATTTCTTATACTACAGACTACAGTATTTAAAAAAGCAAGGACTCATCCATCTGCATGCTGCAGCTGACGACACACGACCACACACCGCCTTTCGGCTCCATTCTCCGGAGCCTGGACCCGCCTCGGTAGCAATGGCGGCCTGTATCGTAGCTCCGGATACCCATCGCGGCATGTCCACTATGAGTTTTGTGACCATTGACACGCACTACACGCTGCTTGTACCACATAATACTAATAGTCGGAAGGCCAAGACTCGGATCGCGGAGCACGTTCGGGATCGGTCAAAAGGAGGGAGTTGTACATGTTGTACTACAACTCCCTGCATGGTCAAGCGAGACCCGCGTCACCGTCATTGACGGCTGCAAGTATCTACCGGCGCTAGCTCGTAGGACAGGTGGTTGCGCTGTACATCGAAAGACGAAGATTCCGGATCAGATTCACGGTGTGGTCTGAGATGACTGCCGTTTACCTCGAAGGCTTCTCATTTTTCCTTGCATGTGGAGTCTAGACATTGGTCTTCCAAAGTACATGGCACGGTGAGGAATCGAATGATCCAACGGATTCCAGCCATCCAGGGTCTCTACTCGTTCTGGGTCACACAAACACACAAAGTAACGATCATCTCCTGGTGACCCATTGCCATTGGCCAAAGCTGGCAAGGAATCTACAGGATACCTAAACTAAAAGCGAGCAGCACCCTTCTTTATCTGACAAGTCCGTGAGAACAGGAGAGCTGAAAACGGTCAGGAAGGGGGTCGTGCCACACTTGAAAATAATAGGTTTGGCATGGCATGCATGAAGTCTTCAAGACGAAGTCCCGGGGATCCCCGGGGCCCTATGACTGAACTCTGATTCTGAAGCGACCGGTACATCTACGGTGTGCACATGTGACGTCTAGACTAGCTAGATCGTCTGGCATTCCAAAGGCACGGGCGGCGGGCGCTGTTGCTCGGCGCAGACTGACCCTAGCCGCATTCTAGTTTTATCATGGTTGGCATGGCCAGCGTGAAGTACCTGAGTACAGACTTCACTGACCTCAGTGGACCATCCATGGCATGGATATGTATGTGGAGTTTGCGAGCCTAGCCGGTGGCCGCAGGCCGCTTAGACGTAGAAAAAATGACTCTGCCTGTGTATGGTGGTAGATGGTGAGGCTGTGTTGCTGACGGAACGTCGTCGTTGCCGTTGGGGTATGTACATTTTGTGTGACTGAGTTAGTGCTGGGACTGAGAGTGTTACACTTACAGGCGCTAGGCATGGCTCAGTGACTGACTGCATAGCTGAGTGAGTGCAGCGCGCTCATGACTATCTCCAGTGCAGTCACTGCACCGCAGCTAGCTCCACAAGCAAGATTTCTAAGGGTGAACTGACTGTGAGTTGTTTGAGAGAGAGAGAGTTGAGGATCACCTGCTTGCCCTAGTGGCCGTCCTGGGGCTTTTCAAGCAGATGTAGACGGGAGGCCAGCGAAAGGGAAGATGACTGCATCGCTAGATTCAGCCCTCGCCAGTGTGCGACGGCTGGAGGCCCTAGCTTTGCCCGATGAGCAGCCTAATATTGAAGCACCGCCAACGTCAGTAGTATACGATGTGTCGTTCGATACAAACTTTGAAGATCGCAATGCCTTCGTTACGGGCTTGGCGAAATTCATGGAAGAGGCCACGGTGCATAACCACCTCGTAAGTAACGCCAGCATGCGAGCGGGAACATTGGACTGCCGTGTCGTCCCGTATGGTTATGCGTCCGTGCAGCGTTTCTCTCTACCTTCCAGGGTGAACCTGTGTCCGGTATCATTGGTTGTGCGTGTGTGTTCCGTGTGCGCGCGTGCGTGTGTGTGCATGTGCAATGCATGATGTCTGGTGCGCCCGTGTGTTGCTCTTCGATCTGCAGAACAAACTGCTGGAGGAAGGCGAGATGTATGCGTCGATGCTCTACACATGGCGCAGCAGCTCTAGAGCTGTTCCATCGGTATGTGAAAATGTCCATTCGTACCGTGGAGGTTTAGGCGACTCGGCCATAGCTTGTTGCAACGCGATTATTATTGTTTTTTGAATGAGGTCAATGGCAATAATTGTTTGGGAGTGACTGATGAGAGTGCAGTGAGTGCTACTTCAGTCGCCATGCACGCTCGGTCTAGATCCGCATCGGATGATCTCATTTTCATTCAGCGAGACCTGGTCTCATCCGTTTGAACCGTTTCCACAGGAGGGAGGCGCGTACAAATAAATATTGTAATAGCACGATAATCACCCGTTCGCACCAGAAATTTACGCTGATCACAGCTTGCGAGGACTCGCCCGAAGCTGTGTGCGACTAGAGGCATACGTCACGCTTAGGGAGCGCACATAACATGACATTGTACATGATTTGACTGGTCTGGTTCTGATTCCCAGTCCCAGGTCTGCACTGCTGGGGACCTTTGGCCCAGTCTGACATGCACTGTTTCCCCATAGGCAAAAGCCCATCTGTTCCACGGGCCACACATGTGGCACTAGCTGGCTGTGACTGAAGTATTAGTCTGGTGGTGTGCCCAGGTGGACGACCACTCGTTCTGCATGAGAACGGAATACAGGTTATGCGAGGCATATTCGTAGTAGGCGTGGAATTAAACTTCTCGAGTAACAGAGGCGTCATCGAACAGCAACGGAGGAGTGCAAAATACGCTAAATAGTCTGACGCAGTCTGAACATTCTCCCGTGTACTGTCGGGAGCCATTTCCTTATGGCTGTCGTACTTTCACCCAGCTTCATCTCCTCAATGTCGAACAAACCCCAGACCATGATACAGATGTGTCCAGTTGGGACGGAGCGCTACAACGTAGTTTACAGTGCCCAGCACCCTGGAAGTCAAAAAACACCAAACCAGCAGGGACAAGCGCGGCGATGCAGGAGGAACGGATGTATTAACACCCAAAAGTCCCTATGGTGAAAGTCCCAGGTTGATCGGAGCAACCGTTCCTGAGTGATACCAACTTGAAGTTTTCACTAAATTTGGTGACATCATGATGGCGTCACTAACTTTCCCGGACTAGGCCGGATTTCAAGATGACGTCGGAGAGATAGACTTTGTATGGGAGTTAACGTTTGGAACTGGACCACAACTGTCACATCCTCAGCAATGCAAGGTCAATGGTATGAAGTAAACGCACCAAAAAAACGAAAAGTGTCACCGTTTCACAGACCAAACAGATGCATGTGGTAGATGAGCAGGCTAAGCGTGGTTTTAGGATGTGGTCCTGGAAAGCCTGCAGCTAGACCAGATAGAGTATTGTGTGCGTGACTGGTCTTCGTGCTCGTGTGCAACTGGTCTCGGTGCCTTCCCATAGCACTCGGCACTCGTGTCTAGCTTGCTTGCTGCAAATCACACGTTGTATACAGCAGGCTAACTTGACTGTTTGACGTTGTATTTTTCTGTCACTGCTTTGCTGGGCAATGCAGGTCAAGAGTAATGAGCAGCCGAACCGGCGTGAGATCTACGAGAAGACGGTCGAAGTCCTTCAGCCGGAGGTGGAGAAACTCAAAGGCTTCATGAGATTCCAGGAGCGCGCCATTGAGACATTCACGGCCGAAATCAAGCAACTGGCGCACGAGAACAAACGTCGGGACTTCATTTCGGAGACGCACTTGCTAACCCTGTCCAAGTTCATCAACATGTTCGCAATACTGGATGCTCTGAAGAACATGAAGGCATGTCTTAACAATGACTTGGCCTTCTACAAGAGGTAAATGCGCCACGAAGATATGAAAGAGACATACACGTACTTGTAGATATGTCAGATCATTGTCAACTTTCTCGATCCAGAAACTGGAGCCCTGCAGATTAATGCAATCAGTATAGGGAAGTAGCTAGCACCAGCCCAACTGATAAATTGTCACTTGAGGTGGACTACCATATGTTGGTTTCTAAGCCAAGTATCCATTGAAGAATTGTGTAGGTACAAGACTTCATTCCGTAACTGTCTCATGATCGTGTTTGGCGAAATTGATTCCTGCTACTGGCCTGCGTTGTATCTGCACGAACGGCAGCATGCCTCAGTGCATTGCCTCGCACGGATCCTGCATGATCTTACAAGGGAATTTCTCAGTCTGAGAGTCGAGAGATGTATTTCCCGAGAGTGCTTGGTGCTATTGTATGTTCTGCCTTGCATGGTGCGAATGCAGGCATCATGCACAGCTGATTATTTGACTAAGAGTGGCTTGGACTTTTATGGATTTTTTTATGGATTCTATGGATTCTTGGCGGTACAAATAGCATGACCCATAGTCACCATTGGGCTTTACAGGCATTCGTTTAACTCACGTTGCCACTGGAATAGGACCTAAACGTCAGTGTGCATGCCGAAATTGCCTACAATCTTGCCCTGCGTGCAAGCCAATATGTACAACTTTTTTTGTTATTGTTGTCTGTGTGCTCGATTTTTATTGCATCTGACCGTTCAGAGCGGATGGATTTCTGAAGCGAGGTGCTGCGGTCGATGCAGCTGCCATGCAGGAGTTCCCCGCACTGTCTCTCTTTCTAGCTACCAACAACAAGATCACTCTTAACCTAAAGGAGAGCCTGGAAGGCGTAAGTATACTCCTGCTACATTCCGCTGTTCTTCGTGCTCGTTTGTTGCACTCGCGCGTGTTAGTTTAATGGGTTACTAAGCATCTGAACTTGCTGGTGGTGCGTGTGGTGGTGCATGCAGCAACATTGACAGGACTGTAATACCTGCATGCCAGGCGGTTCTTTTAGCTGAACGGTTTGCGACTACAGGCATTTCCCGATCCTTGCCAGATCCGCACCAGTCAATTACTGACAGCATTTCTGTTTTTTTTCCTGCTTGTCTGTTTTTCTTTCCCACTTATTGTAGATACCGTCGTATGAAGAGGTTCTCGCTACGATAGTCAACTCGTGCGTGTCACACTTAGAGACCAAAAGCTATATGCTACCCAAGGAGAAGCATATGCTCTTGAAGGTCATCGGGTTTTCTCTATTCCTCATGGACGGTACGGTCAGCATATACAAGCTCGACGCCAAGAAGAAGATAAGCCTCAGTAAAATTGACAAATTCTTCAAGGTAGGGGACTCTTGCGTGTTCCATTGGATGTGCTAATCTTCTAGTGGAAACACAAAAATTCTGCATGTTGTCCTGTCAACCCACCATACTTGCCTATCCTTTTCTATGTTTTGCTCTTCTCTTTGCTCTACCCAGCAAGTTGCAGTTGTACCGCTCTTTGGCGACATGCAAATCGCGCTGGTCTCGTACATCAAACAAACAAAGAACTACGATGCGTCAAAATGGTCGTGTGTATCCGAGCAGGCCGAAGAGAAGGCCTTCGTGCAGCACTACAACATCCAGTCGAAGATCGACACCATCCGCACGGAACATTTGAAGTATATATCTGAGCTAGCGCGGTACAACAACGAGGTATGTGAACGTGTGACCAATTTTGAAACTACTGTAGGAGAAAACTGTTCAAGTGCCCTTGTGAACCGCATGCATGCATGCATGGGTGCATGCGTGCATGGGTGCGTGTACATTGACTACGTTGCTGAAGGATAGGACTACTGTAGTATTGATTTTGTTGTCTGGTGTTTGTGTGAAAGGCTGCTTTTGGTTTAAATTTCTCCGCTATGTATTAAAGTACCTTTGTTGCTGACATCATGTAATATGAGTGATGCGTCAAACACATTGCATGTTGTGTGTTGAAATGATGTTAGTTGTACCCAATGCTGTGTTGGAACTGGATTGATATTGTATGCTAGGTTGTGTTGCTGGCAGCACATTCCGTCATTGCCGAACCGTTCAAAAGTCTAGCCTTCCATTGCCAATTGTTGTTTGCCAATCGTTTTGATGATTTGTGTGCAGATTACGACCAGTGGCTCAACAACGTGGACCGACAAGCAGGTGCAAGAGCTCTCCGATCTATCTCTCCGCGGCCTTCACCTCATCTCTGGATGGTCAACACAGATTGTTGAACTGGTACGATGATGGCGTCGTGATCGGTGGCAATAAGCTTGCATGAAACCTTCCATAATACCGTCAGAGTGTTCGATTTTCAACGAAAAGTGCAATTTACTTGCCTGTATCTCTACAAGTGACAGTGAGCGGTTTTGATCAGCGTGTGTGTCTAGAGGTACCCGGCCTGGCGTGCATGAAACTAATGTCACATTGTGGTCGGTGTGCTGCTGCTCTACACGGTCTCTGCTGTCTCTGCTGTCTGCAGTATGCATGGAAGTTGCTCCACCCCACCGACAAGTACGCTAATCGAGAGTGCCCAGATGATGCAGAGGAGTACGAGAGAGTAAGTGTGCATGCGCTCTCTCTCTCCTTTATTGACATATCCTGCGATCCACTATTGTTGTTCTGAGTCGCCTTGTGATGAGGTGGAGCTTGTATCTGCTTTGTGCTACCCATTTGGTGTTTTGTGAGTATTACAAGTGTGACTGGGGGCATCTGTGCACGAATGCCCTGCTTTCTCCCATTGCTTGGTTCTCTGCCCGGTGCTACGCCGTGTACAGGGACTTTATGGCAAGTCAAAGTCTTGTATAGCATGTGGTACATGTCCCAGCATTACACGCTTGCATTATCACCTCTGCTAGAACTGTTATCACCCTTTTCACCTCAGTTTTCCTATGGCATGCCACACTTCGATGCCAGTTTCCCCCTGTATAATATTATTTACCGCGGTCAATTATTTATTTTCTACTACCTCCACTGATGGGTGCTGTTGAGTAAAAACAGCTGTCTGAAAGGTTTGACAATATCGAATTCTTAACAGAATTATCTTTCACTGCCTTGATGATGTGCAAGTGAAATGGGTTGGCCGATATCACATGGTGTTTTTTTTTACTCTTACTGCTCAGGCCACGCGCTATAACTACACATCAAATGAGAAGTTTGCCCTGGTCGAGGTCATTGCCATGATCAAGGGCCTGACCGTGCTGCTGACGCGCATGGAGGTGACGTTCATCGAAGCCATCAACCGCTACGTGCACATGGTCCTCCAGGTCTTCGTGCAAGTCACACTGCGCGACGCCATCCGCTACGCCATCAAGAAGAAGAAGCAGCAGCTGAAGATGTAGGCTTCTTTTTCATTCGATTGTTTTCTAACATGTAGTGTACTTTTGGGTTCGTGGCTGGAACAGTGGCTAGAGGATTTTTATTTTGTAGCCTTCCACAATGTGATCTAGGCTCAGTTCCCGGCGTGTACAAAGGTAGTTTCCAGCGCCAGGAGGCCCATCTGGGATTGGGTGCTCGCCCGATTGAATTCGGCTAAGGGAGAGGTGATGGGCACCATCCTCACTATGTCAAGTTGTACAGATCCACGAAATCCCGTAGAACCCCGTAGACCCGGTTGGGTGTTCATTGTGTACTATGCATGCGCATTTGACCAATTTTAGCCTCATAATCTAATGGCAAGCAATCGCTTTTCCAGCTTCTTCACTTTGATTAGAACTAATGACTGGCTAGATCTTTGTCAGAAAAAGGTTTTTGAATTAAATGCCTTCAGGCTCCATTTCTTAGTGGAAATAGCAGAAAACACAATACTGAGGGTCCTGCACATTCAACACCCAACCGGGTCTACGGGATTCTATGGGATTTCGTGGATCTGTACAACTGGTATAAGGCTTATGAAGTGAGATGTCTCCAACACTTCCTGTCCCATGTGGTCGGAGTTGACAATGGGCTACCTTCCCCTAAGGCTTTGTGAACTGACTACCTTCACCCAAGGCTTTGTGAACTGACTACCTTCACCCAAGGCTTTGTGAACTGACTACCTTCACCCAAGGCTTTGTGAACTGACTACCTTCACCCAAGGCTTTGTGAACTGACTACCTTCACCCAAGGCTTTGTGAACTGACTACCTTCACCCAAGGCTTTGTGAACTGACTACCTTCACCCAAGGCTTTGTGAACTGACTACCTTCACCCAAGGCTTTGTGAACTGACTACCTTCACCCAAGGCTTTGTGAACTGACTACCTTCACCCAAGGCTTTGTGAACTGACTACCTTCACCCAAGGCTTTGTGAACTGACTACCTTCACCCAAGGCTTTGTGAACTGACTACCTTCACCCAAGGCTTTGTGAACTGACTACCTTCACCCAAGGCTTTGTGAACTGACTACCGTTACCTAAGGGTTTGTGAACTGACTACCGTTAGTAATGATATGATCGTGGTCCTTGCTAGGTCTTGCTAGGTTATGTTTTGAGTGAGCTGCTCCGTGACTAGTTGATACATCTTCTCCTCTGCCTGTCTAGTGTGCTGTTTGCTATCCGTGACACATGTGTGGACTGGGCGAATGGCAAGGAGCCAGCTGACGACCCAGCCCTGCGCGGTGAGAAGGATCCCAAGGGTGGCTTCCACATTGATGTGTCACGGAGAAGTGTTGCGCCATCCACGACACAGGTAGGATTGTGTTGCTGCAGCGAGCACCCAGTGTATAGCTACTCTGTGAGATGAAACTCCATGAAATCCTGGAGGTTTGTTGTTATACTGTTGGGGCATTGTTTTACCAGGTTTGCCATTGCACAGTTATTGGCTTGGCACAGCCGTTTGGTGGTGCTATACTGATATGCATCACGCAAGCCATCAGTGGCATGATATTATCTCACAGTCACATTCAACCATTTTGTGGACTGGATTTGGTGTTTGCAGCAGCGCGTTGTACAAAGGCATGGCTACGCTGTGCATGCATTTGGAATTCTCGACCCTGCCATGGGGAATAAATCCATGTTGCAAGAAGGAACAGACTTTCTGCAAGAAAAAGACCCACTAATGGTGACTACTAGTATTGGGAACAGACCCACTATTGGCACCAGACCCACTATTGGCACTAGACCCACTATTGGGAACAGACCCACTATTGGCACCAGACCGACTATTGGGACCAGACCGACTATTGGGATCAGACCCACTATTGGGACCAAACCCACTATTGGGAGCGGACCTACTATTGGGAACACTCGAAAAACCCACTATTGGGAACGGACCCACTGTTGGGAACGGATCTACTATTGGGAGCAGAACTTCTATCGGGAACAAACCATCTATTGGGAGCAGACCCACTATTGGGAACGGACCCACTATAGGGACCAGACCCACCATGGGGAGAGGAACGGTTCCGGGTTGCCGGGCCCATCAAATGCTAGTAGTCAAAATAATCAAATACTGAGTAGAGGTGAATTTGCTCCCCGTATGTGTTCATTGTGTCTAGCTGTACATGTGTAGAACGATGGTGGAGTCCATCATCTCCGATCAAGCGGGCAAGAAGTCGCTGCGATCGGACCTGGACCAAAGGCACATACCCGACTTGGAGGAATTTCTCAAGGTCACCTATTTCTTCCCTTACATGATCAACTTCAATCGTAAGTGATCTGCATGATGCGGTGATTTGGTGAAATGGCATTACCCAGCACATGACATTTCTTACTCACCATCGAGTGTTTGCGCTGAAACATGAGTTGAGTTTCATGCAGTTGCACGCTACAAGTTTTAATGCTGGTGGCCTTGCCACTGCGGTATGCTGACAGTCGCATTCTTGTTGATTTGGGCATTGGCTGCCTACTCACCTTTCACTTATTCTTGTCCGGCAGGCTCACTGATGGAGGCATCTGACTTGTCTCAACTCTGGTATAGAGAGTTCTTCCTGGAGTTGACCATGGGCAAACGAATCCAGGTGAGTGGCCTTGACGGCATGCAGAGCAGCTGTATGTGCCAAGGCTGAAAACATATATGTTGTTACTTGATAGGATGCGCTTACCGGTATCTTGAGAGTGAAACTCAGAAGTCAGCCGACCATGGGAAGTGTTCTATACCCTGCACTTTGCTTGGAAGACATTTACTATTGCCAGTGGACTTAGCAGGCCCTGGTCAACATTTGAAATAGACATCCCTGGATATAGAATTAATCTGAATTATACCTTAGTCTCACTGTGCCGCGGAGTTGCATTTCGATTCCTGGTGACTGTGCTTTACTATACTCTGTAAGAGTGATGTAGAGGACGCATGTAGAGGACGCATTGCACGGCTTGTGCGTGTGTGTGTATGTTTGCGTGCGTGCGTGCGTGTGTGCGTGCGTGCGTGTGTGTGTGTGTGTGTGTGTGTGTGTGTGTGTGTGTGTGTGTGTGTGTGTGTGTGTGTGTGCGTGTGCGTGCGTGTAGTCCGTGTACATGTATATCTGTACGGGGCAAGCCTACGGTGCTCTCCCGAGACTCCTTTGCTCAGTTCCTTTGCCATTGACTTTGTCATCCTGTTGTGCAGTTCCCTATTGATATGTCCCTTCCATGGATCCTCACTGATCATATCCTGGAGACCAAGGAGCCATCGATGATGGAGTAAGTTGGACCCCTGCTACTGCCGTTGATGTGCTCAATGTTGCTGTTGCTGCTGCCATTGTTGCCAGACGTTACGGCTACTGAATTTGAATTACGAAATGGAAAATTGCTAATGCTGTTGCAGCCTTGGCTCAGTCGCAGACAGGATAATACCAAAGGGACACAGGAGTGTAGTCAGATGGTTGTAAATTTGCCTTTCGCCCTCCACTTGTCTTCCTTTGTGTGCTGTTAGGTATCTGCTGTATCCGCTAGATCTGTACAGTGATGCAGGTCACTACGCGCTGCATTTCTTCAAGAAACAGTACCTGTACGACGAGGTGGAGGCCGAAGTCAATCTCGTTTTCGATCAGTTCATCTACAAGATCAGTGAGCAGATCTTCATCTATTTCAAGAGCTTGGCCTGCAGGTACGATCATGCTATGTTTAGTCAAATAGTTGGTGGATGACCTGCCTTTTACAGTGGATTGTCCACGATGCACAGTGGTGGAGGTTATGCGATTACGTCGTCGTTTGAGATGTTTTGTATGTTTGTGCATGGCACTGCATGCATCCGTGTGTGTGTGTGGGGGGGGGGTGTACGTGTGTGGGTGGGTCGGCATGGATGTGCGGAGGGAGGTGTATTGGAACATTGGCCAGCCATAGCGAAAGCACAACCCGTGCTTTTTTAAATGGTAGCATCCATCATTTCTGATATGTATTGATCTGTGCTGCTAGACCCATGACTGTAGGAGGTTAGTTTGAGCTGGTGGTAGCAGCCTGTAGTGAATTGTTTCGAGTACTGTACGAGCCATTCTCTTTGTATGCCGATCTTCTCATTTCTTCACCACAATTGCAGCATCCTGCTAGACAAGAAGTTCCGCATTGAATGTCAAGACAGCCAGCGCATACCATTCCCGCAGGCTAATCGCTACCAGACCATTCTCAAGCAGCGTCATGTTCAGGTACATACATGCGGGTGACCCTGCTACTAGTGGCCAGCACCTGTAAATATCCATCGGGCATTGGCAATGCTGTTTTCATCGACCCTCCGTGACTTACCTTTCCATATTCACATAGTTAAGCTCGACATCACCTCTTTATCCTGCTATCATATTCTTTGAATTTTGCAAGCCGTTTTTAACAGTACAGGCTACAGGCACATCCGCAGATTGGCTCTCTCTCTCTCTCTCTCTCTCTCTCTCTCTCTCTCTCTCTCTCTCTCTCTCTCTCTCTCTCTCTCTCTCTCTCTCTCTCTTCATCTGTTTTATTGAGACACCTGTCCTTACGTGGAAAGCCAGCCTCAACACCTCCTCATTTTCATCCTGCTCTCCCACGGTTCCTTTCCAGATTCTTGGCAGAAGCATTGACTTGAACCGTCTCATATCGCAGCGTTTGACCAACCACATGCTGAAGGCTCTGGACATGGCGATATCCAGGTTTGAGAGCTCAGACCTGACCAACATCATGGTGAGTAACTTGTTCCCTCCACATGGAATAACATGCACATCTGCTGGGGGGTGGGGGTTGTATTGTATTGTATTTTTTTACCTCGGCATTCCCAACAGACTCTCTAACTAAGGTCTTCATCTTGGTTGCCCAAGTTATAGGATCAGCTAGGCTTCTCCACAGTGATTGGATTGATTGTCTCACTGTAGCACTTAATCACGGGTTCTTAGAAGGGTACATCATGTGACTGTATAGTCCTATGATATTTATACGTGTTGCGCTCATCTTGTGACTGCTGAGCTCCATCTTGACCTGAGATATTCCACTCACTGGTGATTGTACCTGCTTTAAGGATTCTGTCCTCTGATACTTTGTCTGCATAAGCTTTTAAAAGGTGCATTTGTTAGTGATGCCCTTGAGTGCTATGAAGTGAGCACCACTGCATGACGTGGCTGTTGTCTGATCGTGCTTCAGGAGCTGGAGCTTCTCCTGGAGACGAACGCGCTGACGCATCAAATGCTTCTGGGCTACGTGACGATGGATCCGTTTGACTCTCTGCTGCGCGAGGCCAACCAGAGCGTGAACCTACCGCACGGGCGCATCACGCTGCACTGCTTCTGGGAGATCAACACCGACTTCATGCCGGGCTGGGTCTACAACTCCACTACTAACCGGTTAGTTAGCTGCGTCTTGTTGTTGTTGTTGTTGTTGTTGTTGTTGTTGTTGTTGTTGTTTGAAATCTTTTATTCTCACGATGGCCTGTGGCCAATGAGAGAGTTGTTGTTGTTAATGTTGTTGGTGGTGGTGGTGATGGTGCTGCTGCTGCTGCTGCTGCTGCTGCTGCTGCTGCTGCTGCTGCTGCTGCTGCTGTTGTTGTTGTTGTTGTTGTTGTTGTTGTTGTTGTTGTTGTTGTTGTTGTTGTTTTTGGATTAGCAATTCACACGGGCAAATGTGTAAAATAGAAATAATATGTGAAAATGCATGACCGGAATGCCAATATAGAAAGTTTGTCATGAATTTGTTCAAAGTGGTATACATATACTAGCCCTTCAAGAATGATTTAGTCCAGTCAACGGTTTCACTATGTATATACTCGCGGGGTTTGCTGCACAGTTTGCCTGCCTGAGCAACACTTAACTGGTGTTGCACTGGTCGGCAAGGGAATCAAGAATAGGAAAAGCTTGTTCATCAAGCAAGGTTAGATTGCATCACCATTGATTGTGGAGATTTGTTTTTTACAACGCAGTTTCAGTGGTAAATGTGTATTGTCTTGTGAATCGTTCTTGTGTTGTTGCATTGTAGCTTTGTCCGAACTAAGCTCCCACTCACAGAACCCGCCACTCGGGAATCGCCTCCGAAAGGACCTATGTCGTTCTTCTACGGCACCAGGGTGAGTGATTTTGAATTTCTGAGATTATTGTATGCCAGGCTGCTCTGCATAATGTACCTGCCATCACCATCTGTTCCATTCCTGTTCATCCTCCTTGTCCTTCTCCTTGTCTTCCTCCTCGTCCTGTATCTCCTCGTCCTCCTCCTCCTCTTTCTCCTGTTCCTCCTCCTCCTCTCCTCCTCCTCTCTTTTTCCCTTTCTCGAACCCCCTGCTTACCTGAAAGGGTATGGAAATGTTAACTGCAGCTTAATGCCATAGCTAATGGCTGTCACTTGTGTATGTATTGTGTGTTGTTTCTGGCCCGCAGGCACTGAACTCAGCCTACAGTACAATCAACAGCCTGCATTCGGGTTTCCTGGGTCATGGCCACTTCTCAGCTATGTCCAGACTGCTGGGCTACCAGGGTATTGCCATGATTATTGAGGAGCTGTTGAAGCAGACCAACCTCTGTGTAAGTACTAGTAGCCATGGCAGTGCTGCCACATACCAGCTGTACAGAGTAACTCGGATAGCCATGAACACCCCTAGCTTCCCGTGCTGTTTTGTTGTCTTCCTCAATTCCAGGGAACCCAGCTCTACCTTGACAATGATAATCTGTCTGCAATAGATGGTGTGGCTATCGCGGCTCGCACATGAATCAGTCCTGGAGAGAGCATAAGCTTGCTTTTGTCATTGGTACGGGTATCTTGGCTGGTTGCCTTGGCTGTGGTAATCTGTCACTAGTTCAAGCACAATTCTCTCATTAATTAAACATCTTTGTTTTGTGACACTGGCTCTGCTTTTCTACCGGTACAGATTCAGAACACTCTGCAGCCATATGTCAGTGCTCTTATGGAGGGCATGCCACGCCGATGCCAGCAGCCACTATCTGACTACGGAGCATCAGGTACATGACTCTCGCAACTAACCAAATGATCAAAGCATGTGCTGGACACGAGTTGTTGTACTGAATGTTTCCATGTACTGCTGTGTACTGACAGCCGGTGATCCAGGCTATTGTTCAATGCGAACCCCTCCTCACCCACCCCTTATGGTTGGTAATCGTGAGTGGCCTTGATTGGCTGTGTATGTACATGTAGCCGGATGTGATGAGTGGGCTTTGAGCGAACTACTGTGACATTGCTCTTAGCACAAATGGACCGACCATACTCTCCCTCCCTCCCTCCCTCCCCCCTCTCCCTCCCCCCCCCTCTCTCTCTCTCGCTCTCGCTCTCTCTCTCTCTCTCTCTCTCTCTCTCTCTCTCTCTCTCTCTCTCTCTCGCTCGCTCTCTCTCTCTCGCTCTCTCTCTCTCGCTCTCTCTCTCTCTCTCTCTCTCTCTCTCTCTCTCTCTCTCTCTCTCTCTCTCTCTCTCTCTCTCTCTCTCTCTCGCTCTCTCTCGCTCTCTCTCTCTCTCTCTCCCCTCTCTTTCCCTCCCCTCTCTCTCTCCCTCCCCCTCTCTCTCTCCCTCGCTCTATCTTCATCGGTATTGCCATGTTCCATGCATGCTCTCTGTTGCTCCTATGCAGGTGTGCTTGGTTTCTACTATGCCCAGCTTGAGTCGATCATCCAGTACCGTTCCCTCCGAACAGAGGTCTTCCAGTCCTTCAAGGAGATTGGCAACGCCATTCTCTTCTGCCTGATTGTGGAGCAGTGCCTGTCTCAGGAAGAAGTGCTTGACTTGCTGCAGGCAGCTCCGTTCCAGGGTGTACTGCCCAGGCCCTATGTCAAAGGTATGCACGTGTGTATGCAGTTCATCAGCAAAGTTGTCACTGAATTAGCTGGTGCCGGTGCACTGGGCTATGCCGGGCACACCAGTACTGACCTTTACTTGAGTAGGACTGGTACGGTGATGAATGCGATCTGTTCTCGGTTTCACTCCGTTCTTGTCACAGTCTTTTTTCAGAATGATGTAGAATGTTGCACTTGTAAGTGCATGGCTATGGTAACCAGGTACATGTACTTATTCTAGATGGTTATTATGATCACACCAGAGCAGTTCAGGACAAGACAAAAGGGGAACTGTTGACTTCAAGATCAAAGCTAGAACGCCGAACTAGAACGACAGAGAAGCTCAGCAGCACAACGGAAAAGCCTGCGCGGCTGATACAACTTAGAGTAGAGGAGTAGAAAGATAATGATTTATCACGTGAGGTAGCTCACTAGTACGGATATCACAATGGTGCATGTGTTTCTTGCCATGTTCTTGTCATATGATCAATAGAATGCACCTGAGACGACATAGTACTACGATCAGGTTCCTGACATGCGGAGTGAGATTCGTTCCATGTTACACACTCAGCATAGACTACAGTTGTATGATTGTGTTTGTGTTGCTGTGCTCACAGATGGCATGACACAGGAGCAGGCCATTCAGGACCTACAAGAGCAGTACTCGGCTCTGCAGCTGGTACCGACTATCTCACAGCTCGGAACACCAATGGTATGTCCAGCCCTAAGGCTTATCAATCATGTGCGCGCATCAATGGTATTAGTATGAGGAGGTATTGGTGACCATCTAGAACCGGGGACCAAGTGCGTCCAGCAAGTTGGGTGCAAATATCGCCAACTAGCCCATACAGGACAGCACCATTTATCTCTCATGGCTAGCCTGTTGGGATACCGTAAAATTCCGTTAATAAGCCCCGGGCGTATACTTTGCAGAGGGTCAAAAACCAGGCGTATATTTGGGCATGGGCGTTATTTCGGACGCAATCTGCAGAAGATCAATCTATCAGCAACCCACTAGTTTCAGTGAACCATCATTCACACTGAGCGCGGTACAGGTACATCAAACCACAGCTGGAAATTTGGTCGTAACCAAGAATGTAGCGATAAATTACAGATTTGATAGGTAAACCACTTGCTATGGTAAGTACAAGGCACAACAGGTACCGGCATGTACGCGAACGCACGCTCACGCGCTGGTCATTTTGAGTCCACTTTACGCGCTTCATGCTATCGGCCCTGGGGCACACCTACCCAGCCTGGCCATCCGCCGCACTGTTGCCTCGCTTGCCTGCCTGTACAAGCTGCACTACTTGCCTGGTCCTCCGCAGCTGCTCTCTGTGTTGCCACCGCGCCACATCATCTCTACCAACCCCAGAACTCGCAGCGAGCACGGTGCTGTCAGTGGCCATGACCACCAGCTCCAACACCAGCTGCCTGCATCTGCCCCGCTGGCACTGAAGCGCTCGTTCCCACACTGCAGCATCAGTGATTGGAACTCCCTCCCTGCCGCTCTCCTATCCCAGCCTCCCCACAGCAAGAGAATGCAATCATTCAAAACGAATGTTTACCGCCATCTTCGCAGCACAAACTGGCTCTGGGCAGTCGATTCCCTATGAATAGTATGACGCTAAGACAGTTTCTCCCCCACAATCGCTCGTGTTAAGCCTTGGGTTTTTGCATCTTTCTCACCTGTACAGCTCTATCTTCTTCTTTTTTCATTGTTTTTGGTGCGTGTTTTTGGCCGTGACGCCGAGACCTCAGGTCGGCAGAGTCATCAATGCCCCACCATCACTGCTGCGTCTCGGTGTAGCGCCTGCTCATTAGTTGTCACGTTTGTCCTAGTCTCCGTACCATTGTCTTTCCTTGTTCTTTTCGAGCTGGTTATGTGAACGTAGTAAAAAAAAAAAAAAAAAAAAAAAAAAACGCCCTGGGCTTATTTCGGGCATGGGCGCTAAAACGGACTTGAAGTGTACACCGCCTAAAACTGGGCTTATTATCGGACATGGGCGTTATTTAGGGTGGGCTTATTTACGGAATTTTACGGTACTCTGTTAGTGGCATCCATCGTGGAGTGTGGCTGGTGAACTGTTCGTGCTGTCGTCTGATCTACATGTTGTCTTGTCAAATGAAAACCTATTACTACTAGTACTAGAGTGACACCCAATTGCCAATATAGCTCAAGGTGGTTTTTCGTTTGCTTGTCCATCCTTCCGCAGCAAGCCAACACGGCACGGGACTGTGATCTGCTGACCAAGGAGCGCCTCTGTAGAGGGCTGTCCATGTTTGAAGTTGTGCTGAAGAAGATTCGAGGATTCCTGGTCGGCGACGACAAGGGACCGTCGGAGCATGCCCAGCTCTGGCTCGGACCTCACCCGGCCAACGGAGTGATGCATGTCGTGGAGTGCTTGGAGTTCCATCGCCTCTGGAGTGCCATTCAGTTTGTCATGTGCTTGCCGCTCGGACCCAACGAGGTGTCACCCGAGTAAGTAGTGCTCGAGGAAACTTTGCACCAGAATCTGATGTTGTGTACTGCTGAAAACACGTACCAGAATCACATAGCTGTGCACACCTCGTGGACAAGTTGTCTGATTACAGCTATTAGAGAGGTTAAGATGCACGTTATTTTTGACGTGACGCGGAAGTCCAGCTCGCGTTATTTGGCTCGCACGTCGAAAAATCAACGCGAGTGACCTGCTGCTCACGTCGAAATTTGAGTTTTACGCCAAATTTGACGTGAAATTGCGCGTCACGTCGGAAATAACGTGCATCTTAACCTCTCTAATGTCTGCATGACTTTGCCCACAATCAACAATGGCACAGCAACAGCCAGCAGCATGACAAAGTATGGTGTACTGCACGTCCACTGCAACACCGCGGCTATGAGTTGTCGGGAATGGCAACTTCAAAATGCCTGTCCACTGGCTCCTGGGAAAGTCCCATAGCCAGCTTGGAAGAGTGTCATGTGTTTCTCTGTCAAGATCAGGTGTGTTGCTACCACATTGATAATAATTATTATGATTGCTGTGTATGCTTCCGTATTGTGTGTATGTGTGTGTCCATTAGGGAAGCATTCGGTGATGGTCTGCAATGGGCTGGCATGGCTTTCATCTGGCTGCTGGGTCAGGAGCGTCGCTTCGAGGCACTGGACTTCTCCTATCACATCCTGAAGGTGTACGTACCAGGCTCCAGTGAGACGGCGAACCAGTCTGGAGTGGTGAGTAGTCCGAGACAAGTTTGTTGTGCGTCTGGTTTGTGTTAGGTGTATGTGCCCACGCCCCCCCCCCCCCCCCTGCATGAGATGCAGACGGTGTCAAGAGACTGAGCATATACAAAGTGTGCAAGTCTGCATACGAGGTCCCCGGCAGTGATATCTCCCCAACTCACACCATAATAATATTATTACGATCCACATTCGCTCCAAGAACATGTTGTACTACGTAGAATGGGTTCAGTGCACATACTGTCTGGATCTGCCATAGCCGCTATCCACTTTCTGTCAAGAAGTGCTGGTTTTACAAGTCCATCGTTCCATAGAAACAGCCTGCACGTGTACACCAGAACACCATATTATTACACACCCTGCAAACCTCTAGCAAGAGCATGACGTCACGTGCGCGGTGTAAGGCTTTGTAGCTGGCAGCAGACCCCGTAGCAAACCCGTGTTGCAGAGTTGCTCGCTCTTCGGAGGTTCTGTGCTCGTGGCAGTGTGCATGTGTGACTGTCATTGTGATGCGGATTCAACCCGGTGCTGTTGCCCTGTGTCGGTGCTGTTGCCCTGTGTCGGTGCTGTTGCCCTGTGTCGGTGCAAGTTGGCAATGAAGTACGCTAGGATACCATAGACTGCTTTGGCCACTGTAATCGATAAAGTAGGGTTTGGTTGAGTTCACAAAGCGGCAACCATTTTCGAGTGTTGAAAGGTGCCTTGCTCGTAGAACTTCACCATAGCTTACCAGTGCTGTTGCTGCTGCTGTGTGTGGTTGCAGAATGTGCGACGAATGGCTGACCGGATACGTGCCACACAGAAGATGAACCATCACATCCAAGCGATCATCCGAAAGCACATGGTGTCGCCCAACGACACCACCGAGGACGTCCGCTATTTTCCCCCACCCATTTACCAAAGCGCCACATCGGCCGTCTAAGTCCTCAGGCGCATCCTAACGTAGCACTGGCGAGACATTGTCCCGAGAGATGATGGCCGCACAGGTACTGATATTTCTTCCCGATTTGAGACGACAAACATACAGCACTGATTAGATTGTTTTTGCAGTACTTCAGCAGGTTTCGGCTAGCTTCTTTCGGTCAATTGCTAATTATTGAATGCTGTGACGTGTTCAGTAGCCTAGGAGCAGTGCCGCGTCTCCTGGCTCGTATGTATTTGGCCAGCTGAGAGCTGTGTACTTCGAAGTAGCTAATAATAATAATTTTTGGTGCCTGCTCGGTGCTCTCTTCCTCCATTGATGTTTCAGCACGGCACGTTGTAACTATTACTGAGCACCAGGTTACTACTGTACACTGACACACGCCGATTACACCCCCGTCTATGTATGTTTGCTTGCTCTTCTGTTTGAATATGCCGGTTTAGCCACCAGTGACCCCATGTGTTACTCAATCATAATCCATGATAGCCCCCAGGCTGCCCCCGATTTGCCGTGCTTGCCTGCGTGCCCATGCCGTAATGCCAACCTTTTTGGCCCGGTGCGGTTGTATAATGTTCCCGTTTTTTAGTAGGTAACTCCCAGAGCTGTTAGTCAGTTAATTCGATCGCCGCACACACGGCGGCTGCTTTTATTATACTTTGCTTTTTTCTGCCCTTGTTCACACGTTTCCAGTATTGTTTTCTTAGAGGATCTTACAACGCGGGCTCTACTGCTTCGCTGCTGCTTGGTACCAACCGCATTACTATGATGACACTCTTCTATGCCGCAACCTGTTTGCCATCATGTGTTTACCTGTACAAAGAATCATGAAAATAGCGCTCGCCCATGATGTCATCAGTCTCACCGGCGGTGCATGTTTTTGTGGCCAGGCAACTTTTGCCTTCACCTTCCATAGTCGGCCGCCTATGAGTATGCCGTGACTCCTGAGCTAGTTCTCTCAGTTTCTTTTCCGTACGGGGGTCTGCAGATGCCCTTCTCATTCGTCTGCGATATGTACATGTACATGTATGGTTGTTCAGTTCTGGTGACCTGTGACTGTGAGGCACACCGTTAATGCGACGGTCCAGGCGCGTAGCACCGCCATTGGAGGTGGTCCGGCCGGAGGGTGGTCCGTGGGATGTCCCCCGAGAAAAATTGAAATTAGGGTGCAAAATGGTCCAGCATTCTGGGCACTTTTGGCATTGTGTTAAAAAGAATGTGGTCCGGCCAAAGCCGGACCGGCTGCTACGCCCCTGGGACCATGGGACCATGTCGGCTGATATGCTGCCGATCGGGAAGCCTTCAGATCAGAGGTCATCATCATTTGGGGTGATTAATGTGCTGGTGGCGGTCCGGTCGGATCGCGGATCAGTGCGGCTCGGTTTTCATGTATCAGTATTTCTATACTGCATGTTGTCGACTTGGATTGCTAGAACTGCGTAAGTAACTTCTACACACACAAAAGGCCCAAAGGGAGAGATGCACAAAGAACGATCATTTTTCTTAGAAGGGCCCATCATCCGGCATGGGCAATCAATGGCATGTGAGATACGCCGAAGCAAACTGATAATATTATTATGACATAGAACATTGAATGTTTCTGCTAAATAAGGCGATATCCGGGGCAAGGCAGGCAGTAACGTTTTGCTAGCGGCTAGTGCAATGGGCGATGTCGATATGGCAGTCATCTGAACTTTCTGCTCTTCGTCTTCGAGCTTCCGCGACTTTCGTCGTTTTATTTCGAGCTTCTCTGTCGTCCATGATCCAGTCGAGTCGGAAAGCTAGGATCACGTGCATTGCAAGTGAACCACCAGTCTACCACCCAAATTTGGTCTTCTTCGTATTGCGTCACTATTTTGCAAATTTTCAAACTCTAAATCCGAACAAAGACGTAACAGTTTTCGAAAAGAGTGCGGACAAAGACAAGCGAAGATCAGTGTTTTGTTTGGGTGACGTGCACTAAGAGATCTCCATTGCAGTTCGTGGCTAACATACTTTTTCTAGCTCTCCAAAACTCTTATTCATATTCTTCATCAGGTGAAGGACGTCTTTCGTTTACTACAATCACACTAGTCGTGAGTGGAACGGGATAATTTTCACCAGTCTGAAGTAAATTTTAGGCCGCACCAGTCACCATCACAATGGCAACATCATCAAAGAAAAAGACAATGACGAAGCAGGAGCTGAAAGGCCATGTTGACAAAGCAGAGATGGATCTCAGCCTGTGTGAGCTCTCCACCATTCCTGTCCGTGATATGGTGAGCTCCGCTGATACGTTTGTAATTATTGTCTTAAATAATTTTAAATAATTTTGCTGTGGCATACTTGCAATACAGTACACATAGACACTGGTCATAATCTGGGAAATGGATCTATAATATTATTATCATTTCGGCCAGTGTAGCTGCTGTACTGAGTCTTGGGGGTGAACATGGGGAAGCTGACGTACAGGGGTGTGATTGCTTCAATGATTCCGATGCAAAAGAAGTTTAAAGAACCCTAAAAAACACAAAGAGGTTGTGCTGTACGCGATGAGAGTCTAAGGCAAAGATTTGACAACTGGTACAGGTGAAATCCTGATAATTCGAACCTCAAAATGCCAGGAAAAAACTTCTAATTATCCGGACATTCTAATTATCCAAACATGAACCCACAACACAATATGTATGTCAAAATGCTCTCACGGTCACGCAGAGTTGCGCTATGGACCTTAGACACAAATTTTACGGACACTGAACTGACCGGCACAGCCTGCTCGTGCAAACTGAACTGACCAGTACAGTGTACAGTGAACTTCGAATTACACTTTGCTAACTTCGAATTATCAGTACAAATCCCACACATTTTCTATGTACGTGGAATCTGTGGGACTTCTAATTAACCGGACATGTAGAGTTCGAGGTTCGAATTATCAGAATGTTTTATGTGGGAATCGTATTGATAGAAATCGGTCCTGGAAAAACTTCTAATTAAGCGGTATGTTCGAATTAAGCCATATTCGAATTATCAGGATTCCACCTGTACTGGTTTTGTGGGGCTTCGTGTATCACAAACAAGATGTCCTGCTCTACGTTTGAAAATTCTCGCAAATAAATCATGTAGAAAGTGTACTGCGTATTTCTCATTCCGAATACGGCAGTTTTCTGAGGGTCTATTGCCAAACGTGGGTGCTACCGGAGCAATAGTTACAGGGGCGTCGCACACGGTACGGTCACTACGGTATTGACCGTACCACTTTTTGCCTAGATACCCCGTGAATCAACAAAATACACTGATCTTGGATCTAAAATTCCAAAATTTTCGGCTCAGCCACCACTCCTCCGCGAGTAAATTGTACTTCAGATGGCTGACCGTACCACACTAAAATACCTTCCGACGCGCCTGAGTTATCATTCAGTAAGCCGACTCGCCCAATCTACAAGATAAATGACACCAGCATCCAAGGGGATGATTTTTTGTCCAGTTAGACTGTGAACTGCACCCAGAGCAATATTCCCACAGTTATCTTCACAGGAGAACATATTCGAAGTCTGAAGAAAATGTTGAGAGCCCTCTCTCTTTTTTTTCTCTCTCTCTCTCTCTCTTCTCTCTTCTCTTTTCTCTTTCTCTCTCTCTTCCTCTCTCTCTCTCTCTCTCTCTCTCTCTCTCTCTCTCTCTCTCTCTCTCTCTCTCTTTCTCTCTCTTTCTCTCTCTTTCTCTGCTTGGATGACGACTACCGCATGTCTTAGTGGTTAGAGCACCGCTGGCCTATAGAAAAGGTCCCTGGTTGGAGTCCTGGTGGTGACAGTCACATTTTTCTTCAGGCTTCTTCCCTTTTCGACACCCTCAACTGATGGATAATATATTTCTATAATTATATTGGTGAAGCCCCGAGACCGTTGAGAGTGTCGTAAAGGTGTGTAGGATCTATGGGTGGCTACCGTGGAGTCTTGGCATCTTGTGAAAGGTTCAACCGTATTTGCCGGAGTATCACGCGCACCTGAGCATAATGCGCACCCCTTCTTTTGTGTAACGTTTTGGCGATTCAAGGCGTATCCGGAGTATAATGCGCAGCCTAGATTTGAGAGCTTTATTGACAGTACTATATCGACCATTTTCCATTTATATATAATGCACATGCTACCAATGGGGTTCTTACCCATCATGCGTTAGCAGTGTAGCAGGCTGTAGACGATAGAAATGCACTCAGTCATAATTATGGTTTCCTCCTCCGCAATTGTTTGATACATTGCACTAATTTTCAAAGTGCATGCACATGCACTTTCCTATTCGGAGCATAGTGCGCGCACCTGCGATTTGGGGCCTGAAATAGTACATCTAAAGTGCGCACTATACTCCAGCAAATACGGTATTCCTTCTTGGTGATAGTAGCACCTAGGATAGGTATGGTCTTTGTGCTCGCACCTGCAGTTTGTACTCTCTGTGTCTGTATACATGTTGTGTTGTCCTGTAGCTCACTTACACAAGGGTGACCGTGTTGGATCTGGCATGCAACAAGCTGGAGGAATTGCCTGTGAGTGAATGGGGACCTGACCTGTCTTGGCGTAGTGCGTGAATTGTGTGTGTGTGTGTGCGTGCGTGTGCGCGTGTGTGTGTGTGTGCGTGTGTGTGTGTATGTGTGTGTGGTGCAATCCCAGCACAAGTTGCTATGGCTTCTGCTGTAGCATCGCCTCGGGCGATGGGCGTAAAAAGCGTACAAATGTGCACCTGCTAACAGCAATTGTCTTTCCGGACACAGCTATAGTGCTCTCTCTCTCTCTCTCTCTCTCTCTCTCTCTCTCTCTCTCTCTCTCTCTCTCTCTCTCTCTCTCTCTCTCTCTCTCTCTCTCTGTCTGTCTTTCTCTGTCTCTCGCTGTCTCTCTTTCTCTCTCTCTCTCTCTCTCTCTCTCTCTCTCTCTCTGTCTCTCTCTCTCTCTGTCTCTCTCTGTGTCTCTCTCTCTCTCTCTCTCTCTCTCTCTCTCTCTCTCTCTCTCTCTCTCTCTCTCTCTCTCTCTCTGTCTCTCTCTCTCTCTCTGTCTCTCTGTCTCGCTCTCTCTCTCTCTGTCTCTGCAATCCATATGATTTTCCCTCTATAGTTCAACTCCGTCAAGCTTACCGGTATGAATACCTATGATTAACTGCGTTTGCCGTCGCTTTTATTTTCTGCAGCACTACAATCTGTTTTACACCTGCAACAATTGGACTGTGCTGATGTTTCGGTACAATTATTACTTGTTTGTTGCATGTGCTCTGTGGGTCTGAGTCTGTCATTATCCTTTCTGACTCCTATTGTCTGCGTACCTGCAGGAAGAACTGTGTGAGATGCGGCAACTGCAGAGGCTTGACCTCAGCAAAAATGTACTCATCTTCCTGCCCCAGGCCATTGGCCGTCTAGAGAAGCTGCGACAGCTGGATCTGTTCAGCAACCGCCTCTCCTCGCTGCCCCTGAGCTTTAGTCAGTTGGCGCAGCTGAAGTGGCTAGACCTCAAGAACAACATGTTAGATTCGCAGATCGCCGGTGTGGCGGGTACCTGTGTGGATGAGCGCGAGTGCGAGGAATGTGCTACCAATGTGAGTACACGTACGTGTATATTCATTAGTGAGTTTCTGCTGCACGGAACTACGTACTAAACACCGTTTAAGCTGCAGTGATGTTTGACACGGATTTTTCGTACGTTTCGCCGGTTCTGCTGTGCGTAGCATGCTCGTAGCATGCTTAAACTTCCCGCCACATGTACTCTGTGCGCTCAGTATTCACACGGAAAACGGTATGAAAAATCTGTGTGAAACTTGATCCCGTATGGCGACGAGGTTTCCATACCTACTTTGGTACATTTTACTGTGTGACAGAAACTCGCTATTGCCGTGGACATAATGTTAGTGTAATCTGTTTCCCTCGGTTTTATACGTTTCCCCTTTCCGCCTGATTTCTGGAGAAGGCCGGATTGCCGTGACTGGAATATGCACCTGCTATGTTTGGAGTAGCTTGTTGTCATTGCACAGAATCATTTTCTGTACTCTGTGTGTTTGCCTTCTGCAACAAGGTTGTGAGATTCATCAAGACGAAGGCGGCAGAAGCAGAGCGGGCGCGTCAGGAGAACATCATGCGAGAAAAGCGTACGTGCACAGAGATGAGAGAGACAGACACAGAGACAGACAGACAGACAGACAGACAGACAGACAGACAGATAGACAGACAGAGAGAAAGAGAGGGGGACAGAGATAGACAGACAGAGAGCCTGGACAGCTGTGAACGCAGTGAATGCGTTACATATTGGGCTGTTGTCAGCTAGTCGGGTACTAGTTTCTGTGAATCGTTTGGGTAGATGTGCCAGCCTTCTTGTCCCAATCAGGTTGTATTCGTATTGCACTACAAGTTGTGTGCCCGAATACAGCAAGTCTGTGTAGTGTGATGTTTCTGATCCCATATTTTGCCAGTGTGGGCACATGATCAAGTACCTGCGCTACCCAGAAGACAGTGTCTGATATTATGCTTCACGAGAATATCCCTACCATGTGGATTTTATTTTAGAAGCTTGTAGTGCTATTGGGTACACATGCATCGTATGGGCAGGACTGTGTTTTATGCCATACCAACTTTGTGTGTGCGTTTGTGTATGCATGCGCCGCGATGTGTCACTGTGTGGCTTTTGTAGGAGCATTGGAGCTACAGCGAGAGCTCACTGAGAAGGAGAATGCTGAGCGCCGGCGACAGAAGCAGGAGTTGAAGCAGAGGCGACGGGAAGAGAGGGAAGCGGAGCTTCGACAGAGGAAAGTCGATACTGGCGAGCAAGAAAAGTCCAACGACCCGTATCTGGAACGGTCGCAGAGCGGTACGTAGCAGTGAATGCAGGCCTTTTTGCTCGCCAAATGTAGTGATTGTTTAGGGATCGTCCCTGGCGGTCCGGTGCAGAAACTGCACCTTTGCACTGACAGACAATATTGCAATTTTGTGCAGGTACGAAGGTAAGCCTGTGTGGTGAAATCTGGCTTGACATGCACAACGTGTCACTTTTGTCGTTTGTGTGTGCGTATGTGTGTGTGTGTACGTGTGTGTGTACGTGTGTGTGTACGTGTGTGTGTACGTGTGTGTGTGTGTGTGTGTGTGTGTGTGTGTGTGTGTGTGTGTGTGTGTGCATCTCTGTTGGTCAACTACAGCAAGCAAGGAAAGGCATGCTGAACAGCAAGGATCATGCAGCTGTAAGTCACCTGGCGCATATGCAGAAACATTGATGTGCGTGTGCGTGTGTGTGTGTGTGTGTGTCCACGTGTGAAAGAGAGATGTTATTTTTTCAATCTAGAATTTAACTTTTCTAAGTAAAACTTTTAAGAATGTTTTGTTGTGATTGAGCATCTGAGCACGCGGCTGTTTGCTGCAGAGAGCCTATGCTCGTACAGTAACTGTATTGCTGCTGCCCCTGGTGTATGTGTGCCCTGCAGGTCTACTGTGGATACTCATGTTGTTTGTGGTGCTACTCGCGGCGCTTGGCGGGGCATACGCGTTTTACTGCATGCCCGACGATCGAGTGTGCCGCGAACAGCTCACAAAGTACTCGCAACAGGGGACAGAATTCATGGACAGGTTTGTTGAACAGTTGAAGCTATCCATTGAAAGCTTGAAGCGGAAGTTAACGTAACAACATAGGTACTAGGCTGCAGGACAAGTCGGCACAACTTAGTGCTTCTTGATTGAATTTTTACTCCACTCTACTTTTTTTGTCAATAGGTTTTTGTTCTCGTCCCGCGTTCCATGGCATTGCGCCTCCCGTTACTCTTCATGCTGGTACTCCTTGCTTGTATGCTGATCTACGCTTCTGGTAAGCCCTGGCATAGTTACTGACTCACTCAGTGCCCTTCCGCTGCCTGATAACATGGCAGCTGGTGTACGATCAGCTGTCAGGTGGCAGCACAGTGCACCCGGGCACAAAAGCAGGCATTGAAGGCATCCGTGTTATGATTTGATTTATTTTGATTTATTTAGAAATTTTCTCCTGCTGTGCAGATATGGCGTATATCCGCCGCCCCTTCAGTGGCAGTTCTCTGGAGCTCAGTGTGCGAATAGGTGGAATGTGTGCTTCGCATTCGTGTATCACGTGTGTATGTGTGTGTGTGCGTGTTGGCCTGCTCAAAGGCTTCAACGGGCACCGAAGCCATGAGCCACAGGAGGGCGAATTGTTTGATGTACCTTTCGTACAGTGCTGCTCAATGAAATCCAATGACGGGAGTCGAGTGTGCGCCGGTCACTGTGCGGCTCCTAGACCTGCAGACACTGGGGTGTGCCCTGGTGCCTCTCTTTCTCTCTCTCTCTCTCTCTCTCTCTCTCTCTCTCTCTCTCTCTCTCTCTCTCTCTCTCTCTCTCTCTCTCTCTCTCTCTCTCTCTCTCCCCCCCCCCCCCGCCCCTCATTCTGAGACCAGTTTAGCCCCTTCTTTGGAGGATTTGGTTCAAAGAGCGAATAGTGAATACAGTGCGTCACATTGCACTTGTGGCAGTTCATCTTATGACTGCTGCCGTGACCAACTAATTCAACTATGCCCGCTTTCTCAAGACCGCCGTGAGCCTGAGTCCAGAGTGGTCGGTCATCTTGACTGCCTGGTCCGGAGACTTTCCTCATGTCATCCACATGATTCGACCGGCTGGTGATAGGGCTCTTTCAGTTGTTACAGTAAACCTCCCCAGATCTGGACGTCCCTAATCCGGGCACTTCCGTCTACTGGGTACCTTTCTGACCCAGCATCTAGAGTCACAAAATGGCTTTTCAACGAAAACAGCCCCAAAACAGTCGCATTGATTTATAGCATAAAAATATTTTCTTGCATGCAGTAAGTGTGTAAGTTCTGAGTAACGGGCAGTGCTCGGTCCCAACCTGCCCGGATATCCGGATCTGGGGAGGTTTACTGTGCTCTGTTTCATGGCACTGTACAGTGTACATGTAGGCATTGCCGCAATCACCAGACAATGATGAATATATCCATTGGTGGCTGGCTACCAGGGACGACTCCCTGGTGTACATGTATGTTAGGATACTTGGAGGGAGTTGTGGTTGCCCGTGACAGTGCTCAAAAGTGCAGCGCCTACAATGTAGCAGGGAGTAGTACAATACCGGTATTGTACTACTCCCTGGACTTACTGTAATACACACAATTGAGGTTCACGGTTTTAACGGTTTTAACCGATCATCAGACACAGACAGCAACTCTTCCTGTCTGATGATCGGTTAAAACCGTGAAACTCAGAGTTACAGCAGAAAGCTGAAACGCTTTAATACCGGTAGAGGCCGCTAGAAAGTGAACCCAGGGGGTCGGATTTCATTTGCCAGCGCTGTACCTCGGATACTAAGTACTGTACCGGTACACTTTCCTGTTGCCCATGCACGGGGCCGGGGGTAGATATCTCTACTGTACGTCTTACCAGAGTTGTACATGTACTTGCATAATGATGTAGATCTACTGTATGTTATTATCATGGCTGTCACATTGTAGTAGCGGAGAAGGCGTCGCAAGGACCAGTATTTTGCGACTCTCTGGTAGCAACATGCATACTTCAGTGAAGTCCCAAGACCTTAGCAAGTTCGACTGCAAAGTGCAATGCCATTGTCAACCTCGCGAATAACAACCTCGGGTATAGCAACAAGAATGACCACACTACAATGTACTTCACACGTACGAGTAGCAGCCATTTTGACTTCGTACATGTACTTTCTTCCACGTCCCAACTTTCCTAAGCTTGTGTTTGTCAAATCTCAACACAATTGTATACAATCTGTACTAACAGCATGAAACAAGCTTTACTTTTACTCCTTCCTCGCAACACGCGCTCGTAAAGTCGTTTCTCATGCCCGCGGTCGACGGTCGAGGGTTGCATGACATAGCGATGCTGTCGGGATTTTTAAAAGGTGTTATGCCTTATTCTGAGAGAAGAAAGTAATATGCACTGGACTAGTAATACAATATAGTTGGTCCTGGCTTTGGACCATGTAATTGTTGGACCATTCTACTACAATACCGGTAAACCGTGGTATGAGATTGATAAGAGCGGATACAATTGCTACCTGTCAAAAGGCGTTAGGCCTGTGGGGATTGCCCTATCAAAAATTTAATAATAATAATAATAATAACATACCACGATAGAGTATACGGATATAATTACGAGTACAAAGTCATTGTACCGGTAGTCTACATGTAACTCGTGTTGCTACCACGTTGCAAGACACCCGCCCCCTCCGCGGGCCCCAGGGCTTACAAAGGATTACCGGACCGCTTGGTAAGTGATTTGAAGGGCTTGGACATGCACCCCGTATACGGTATAGTATCAAGAGTACATAACCCCCCGGGGTTATGTACTCTTGATAGTATGCATGGTGGTTAGCCCCATCCTCCGAAGAGGACGCTGGCGTATGGCATGTTCGCGAACCGCGTTGGCGTGTGTACTAGCGCCGAGACGGACTTTGGTAGCTAGCTTGGAGCATGATTGATGTAGCGGCAACGTCGGACTGTGAATGTGCAAAGGATAGGGAGGTGCACAAACCGGGGGCGTGTGACATCTTCAGCGAGACAGATACTGCACGTGCGAGTTTCCAGCACTTTAAAACTGCCGTGGAGCGGATTCTTGTGCCAGGCAGACTAGACTGCTGACTCAGTCAGAGATACATGACATGGTATGTCACATTGTGACGCCACCATACAGGTAAGAACTAAAAAGAAGCCGAAGCTCCGAAATACTCTAGCCACTTTTCGTGGCCGACCCTGACTCGCCTGAGCGCGATCAGGAGGCCGAGGATCTAGAAAGCTGAGGCTGCACAAGTGCACATCAGCTATTCGCAAATTGGTACTACAAGTACAATGTAGTACAGTAGTTGCATGTTGCAGTGTTGGACGTACCCGGGCCTGATAGTGATAACCCGGGTCAGTAGGTTGGTTGGTTGGTTTTTATTTCACTTCGCACATTCAAACGGGATGACGACCCAATAAAATGACGGCGAAGGCTTAGCCTAGAAGTGGCTATGGAAGAACATAGTAAAAGCTATGGCAGCACATAGTAAGAGAATAGGATACTAATAACTGCGGGTAAACGGGGGGAGAGAGAGAATACGATGTATCTGTGATACTACGTCCGGGTTACTGAACTGCACGGGGAGGGAGAGCAGAGCGATCAGCAGCAACTCGAACTACTCCCTACAGGCGTATCAAGAGTACATAACCCCCCAGAGTGTGCAACGCCTGATCCAGCTCTGTGTAGGGTCTTGGTCGAGCGGAATCGGATCTTCTGATGTCATGCGTACACTTCACACCAGCGCAAGGCCGGTCTCGAGGCAGGGCACCATTGTTTTTGATCCAAGAGTACCCGCGACTCCCCGGGTTCCCCTCAGATGTGTACGGTATTATGACGCAAAGACCCGATTCCGCTCGACCAAGACCCTACACAGAGCTGGATCAGGCGTTGCACACTCTGGGGGGTTATGTACTCTTGGGCGTATGGTACACATGCATGCTTAAAGTTAAACTCAGGTAGTGCGGACCTCACCAGGGAGAGCGTTCCACAGCAGAGCACCAGCAACAGAAAATCTCCGCTGACCGCGGCGGCTACGGTTTGCCTGGCTTAGTAGGCCATTTGACTGCTGATGGCGGGTAGGGGTGCCTTGTGCCGGGGTCAGAAGCTGGGCGAGCACAGGGCTGGTTCGGGCGTGGATGCACCGCCAGATGGGTCAGTAGGTCTGCGAGTAATAGGTCAGTATAGTAGGTCTACGACTCAGTACGAGTATCCAAGCAGCTCAGCTAATCAGCAGACTCAGACTCAGCACTACCTGGCAGTGGCTACAGACTCAGTACTCAGTATCCATGCCATGGTATCAATCATAATTATTATCACTATCAGCAGGAGTACATACCCCGGGGGGGGGGGGGGGGAGTATGTACTCTTCCTATCAGGGAGTAGTAAAAATAATGGTATCATAGTTCACGACTGACTCCCTGCTAGCTCAGTTCTGCTAGTATAGTGTAGGCTGCACGATCAAAAGCATTCCTCAGATGATGTCCCGATGCTGCATGCTGGTCGACATGGTCCTTCTTATTCCCCGGTCGTGCATGCTCACAAGGTCCATGCGGATCCAGGCGCTAGGCAACATGCAGAAGGGGGCTTCATTGGCTTGTTCATTGTTGTAGCATGATCCTCACATTCCTGCACTACTCTTGGGCTAAGGCCTGCGGAGAATCCATAAATACAAAATTAATCACACGGCACCGTGTCCCCTCGCCCTTCACAGCCAAGGAGGAGTCCAGGTAAAAAGGGTAACGATTATAACATGGAAAGGATCGGTCGGTAAAGTCTCCCCCCCCCCCCCCCCCCCCCCGCGTCGTCTCCATATCGGCGGACATGCGGACGCGACGGGCGGCAGTTGACGATGAAGAGATCCCCCCCCCCCGGCCCGGCTTGCAGCATAGCCGGGTACCCAGATCCCAGTCTCCTGGGCACCCCGGGACTCGGCCGGGTCGCGGTAAAATCGGGGAAGCGAGAAAAATCCCTTGTTGTATCCATGGTGTTACGATGACGCATAGAAAGCTTCTGTACGGGTACGCTCACGCACCCTGCATGCTGACAGTGCCGTGCATGCAGAATCTAGAAACAGAACGAGCGAAATCACAATCACTCTATGATGCTCTCACTTGCACTCAGCTGCTTTGTCGTGTTGGTTTTGAGTGCATGTAATGACTTATGAGTTGTGTCTGCTTATCCCAACAAAGGCAACACTGTGTCGCTCAGGAATGAAAGTCTGGTCTACAATGGAGAGGAATATTTGAATATTGCTGTCGTTAACTCGTCTGAATGACCTCTGTGCGCCATGGCTTCTTTTTCGTTTGATCAAACATGCATGGGCTCAGAGATTGTATTGTCTCGTCGTCGACGAACTGCGAAAAGACGACATTCTCGCAGCGAGTTTTGCAATGCGATTGTTCTCAGCGCCGAGTCTCTTCTTGATGGGGAGCTGTTCGAGGTGCGTTTGGAAGAGATGTCTCCTGGCTGGGGCAGCTCTGTAGTCATTGGAGTGACCGGCGTAGTCGAAGAGGATGGTTTCAATGGCGAACTGCCTCCATCTGCCTGTGAATTACGCAGGAAAACCGTGCTCGTTTCTGGTAGCAGTGTGCTGGTGGATGGTGTGGTGGTCAAGGAGAACTTCTGCCCGAGCCTGGACAGCCTGGAGATGGGTGCTCACGTTGGTGTAGCAGTGGTGGACGAGAACTTACACCTGTACATCGATGGAGAGGACCAGGGTGTAGCCTACATGGACCTACTGGCCTGGAGACCTGTTCGTGGCGTTGTGGATCTGCATGGCTGCTGCGTACAGGCGTCTCTGTGTGATACGCACGCAGCAAGTAAGATACGATATAGCTCAAATTTATAAATGCAACTTACAGTATTACTCTATTATATTTGGGCTGATAATGTGACCAAAAGCACATAACCTGGCCTCCAGAGTGTGCAACCCCACTACAATAACATGGCGTGCCGAAGAACATTCAGGCTAAACGTCACCAAAATTTACGAATGTGCCAGGCTGAAAGCAAAGATGTAAGACTGACACAAAGTGAGTTTTTCATGCATCACTGCATGCACAGTGTACCTGCGCTCGGCAAAGACTCAACATTGGATGTGAACACATGAACTCTCCTAAATTTGAAAAGAAGTCTCGTAGTGCAGCGTGCGGGAGCGTTCCGCACAACCCAAGCATGGGAAAAGCCCAAAGGAGTCGGATTATGACCGTAATCTCGCGAATATAAGACCATGACCGTATAATCCAAAAGTCGCTGTTTTCGGTTTGTTCGATTATAAGACCATGGTCTTCTGGCCCGCCGGAACCGGTCCGGTTGGTCAGGTTATTACCGGACCAACTTATTGGCCACCAGCACGTGTTTGCGACTGTAATGGTCATGTGTACCCACTATATCATACACAAAGTATAGAAGGCCATGATACTACCGGACCAATAGCAAAGTGGTTCCGGCGGTCCTGGTCTTATATGCGAGAGACAAACATCGCATCGACATGTACATGTGAAAGTACGGATATTAGTACAGTCAAATCTGCCGTTAGCGACCTCTGCTGTAGGCGACCATCTACCGTTAGCGACCGATTTTCCGTGCACCGACGGTTTCACATACAAACTGATCTGTCCAGAGCGACCATATGCTGTGCGCGACCAGCGACCGCGATTTCATGCACGGTGGCTGCATTCAAATCTGCTGTAAGCGACCGCGACCCAGGTTCAGTCAGGTGCGAAACTGTACAATGTCATGTACTTGCCAGGGCGCTGTCACCTGCAAAGTGTGAAAATGCGCTGTCTTGCAAGTGCGATCGACTGGCGCCTGGCCTGTACTGGGGCTGTGCTGTAGCTCTCAAGTCCAGGCAGTGTCGATCTACTGCCGTGTCGCATACGCGTACTATGGGTATGGTCGTCGTTGAATATCCAATAAAATGATATTAAAAATCACATTATTCTCGTCGATTTGAGTACATGGAAGCATATACCTGGTATGCCGGATTTACCATACATCTGCCGTAGGAGACCATCTGCGGTAAGCGACCGCTTTTTCTTGCACCAAGGGGCGGTCGCTTACGACAGATTTGACTGTAGTGAATGCAAGTACAATGGAACCATGATGATCCTCGTGTGGTTTTGTGATTTTCATTCACTTAGAAGACCGTAGTCTTAGACCGTAGTCTTATAACCGGAGGTGGTCTTATATTCGAATTATAAGACCATGGTCTTATATGCGCAAGAGATTACGGCATCCATTTGAATCAGTGTATTATGTACTAAGTAACGGCCTGGCCTGATGTTCTTCACTGCTCCCGTGTCCGTTCAGGTGTGCTGGCCTACAACTACCCACTGCGATTGTGCCGCTATCCGGGCACCGATATTCAGATTGGTGCTGACCGGCGATCGGCCTCGTTTGAGCCGGCGGAAGCAGTGGGCAGCTTTGCGTTCAGCTTTGCTAACCGAGCGCTGCGCGAGAATGAGCTCTTCGAAGTGGAGGTGAACTTCCCGGTGCTCCGCGACATAGGCAGTCAAGTAACGTTAGACATTGTTAGTCATTTGCCGTCCGATTCGCATCCTCTGCCGGCGGAGGATGCCATGCTGTTTGGTCCGTCGACGGAGAACCGAATATCTGACGTAAGTTCGGCGATACTGCTGTTGTTTTCGCCAGTTGATAACTTATACTTGTGTAAATATTCAATGGCTTTGTTTGAATGAATGGTAAGTAAATTGTTACCGGTCAGCATTCTGTGGGTCCTCAATTTGGCTCCACACCACGCGCCACTGGGTTGGTGCAATCTAAATTGCTTCGTGAAAACTGTTCTGCAATTGTGAACCTACACACACACATGCAAGTGTTTTTCTTGGTGTTGCCGTGTCCTCTGTGCTGTGTGGCTGTAGACGGAGGAACGCCTCGGCGTGATCGTGATGGACGGTGAGGTGTGCCTGCTGCGTAACGGTCTGGTGCGGCGCTGGGAAGCCAGCCGGGCATTCACGCGCTATTTTCCTGTGGTGCTGATTCACAACGGCGCAGCCCGCGTCACCTTGACGGCGCGTGCCGGGGAGCCATTGCCGACGAGCATGCGTGCAACGCGCGGATTTCAACCCGTGCAGGCTCGCTCCGGAGCAGCGGCGGCTGCAGTAGCTGTACCAGTGTATCCCGCCGTCCCCGTGCCAACACCGTTTCGCCCCTCAGCTGGTAAGGATAGTCAACATTTCCCTCAGAGAGTGTCTAGTTACGGATTATGTAACTCTGGTATTGGCCAATTGCGCATCACTCTGCCCACATTATGTAACGCTTACGCCACACACTGTCCCATGGCCTCATTTGAGGGCATCAGATTTCTTTAGTAAAGTTTGGGGCATGAATCAATGGTCCGTCCGGAAACCAACTGCAGTACAAAGTAAGGGTGTGTTCTCTCCACTCTCCATGGATGTAGCTATGTTACATAAGGATTATGTGCCCACCGGAGAACACGCATATCGACAGCGTACCGCACAGCGCAACTAGCCCGCAGCAAAGAGAGTTGATCCTTGCCACGCTCTTCAGCTCTGGATTTCTATGCTGCTTGAAGTATGACATGCATGTACTGATGCGATCCTTGAGTCGCTTTTGCTAGAATCCCGACTGCCCCACTTTCACGCAGTTGGACCGTAACCTGACATCTAAATGTGAAATTTGCATAGTCTTGTTTTGCCCTCGTGCAACTCCCTTTCTTCTGAAGTCGACATGGACATTCCAAGTGTCAATTTATTACCACACAGTTCTGCTCGTGTTATGAAAAAAGTATCAAAAGGACCTAGTTGACGTGGCTGACATCATTGTCCGAAATTTCTCTGTGATGTGCTTCCAGGTAGCGTACCTCCGATACGTTTTCATGCTCGCACCGGTCGCTATGCGTATCTGTCCCCCGACAGGTGCAGTGCTCACCGTATATCGTAAGTTTGTAGCCGTGTGCTTTCTATGTATGTGTGTTATGTGTGTGTGTGTATGTGTGTGTGTGTGTGTGTGTGTGTGTGTGTGTGTGTGTGTGTGCGTCCACATGTGTGTGTGTGCGTGTATGTGCATGTTTAGGGGGGGGGGGGGGTGCATTTGCGTTTGTATCTCTGACGATGTTTCTCGGTTCTTTTGGCCAAAGGCTGGTAACTTCATTGATGAAACCTTCATGATCGAAACAGCTATTGGAAGGAGCTTAGCATCAATGAAAATCTTGCTTTGCTGATGGCGTGCTGTGGTAACATAATATTTCTTCGGACGGGGGAGGAGAAGGCTCTGTAGAAGTACATACAGTCAACTTTGCGTATAACGACACTCGGCGGGGCATCAGAAAAGTGTCCTTATTCGCGAAGTGTCCTTATACCCGAAGTCTCATTATATGTATTACAGTTAGATGTTACTTTGCTCTGGGCATGGAAATTCTGTCGTTATTCGCGAATTGTCGTTATATCCGCAGTCGTTATTAGTGAAGTTGACTGTACACCC